ATGGATGGATGGATGGATGGATGAGTGGATGGATGGATAGATGGAGGATAGATGGATGGATGGATGGATGGATGGATGGATGGATGGATGGATGGATGGATGGATGGATGGATGGATGGGTCGGTGGATGGAGGGAGGGAAGGAGGGAGGGAGGGAGGTATTGCGGGAGGGAGGTAGGGATGATGGATGATGATTGACAGAAGGGCGAATAGATGTGGATGGATGGATGGATAAATAATAGCAAAACGAAATTTCATTCATTTTTGAAAGAAATTCACAGTACCACATAAGAACTTAAAAAGCTTTTACCACAGATAGTAGAATATACAAAAGAACAGCATGTAACTGTACTAACAACTATATACACAATAAACCATACGTAAATAGTGCCCAAATGGCGTACGATTACGTTAAAATAATATAAAATACACTCGAAGCAGCAGATGAATGCATAGTTTGTAGACATTTAAGTCTTAACGAAGTCTTTGAAGAAAAGTTTGGAAATTTAAAAGTAAGTAACTATAAAGTGTACCTTTGAAATCGTCTTGAATGGCCTGTTTTAGCCGCTCCACAAGCAAAATACTCTCCATCACAACAGAAAATAGGACTTCTAAAACTTAAAAATACCAATATTCTACACCTTAAAGCAAAATAACATAAAATAAAGCGTTTAAAATCAAGTTGGGGATCACAAATTCCCGCTCATCAACTTGACCGCCATTTTTTTTTATCACATGGAGAGAGCCTGGGAACCATTACCCAGGCTCCTTTGCCATCGCAAACAAGATTGGAATGGGGGGAGGGGAGGGRTGGGTTACCGTTTTTTAGAACTCTTTTTTCATGTTTTTTCAATTATGAACAACATCAAGATGAAGCACAGAGGGATGGGAATGTAGAATAAAAGATGGTATATGACCACCGAAACCTAGTTCGGGCTACATTTGATATTTGAGACTTTTTAAAATAAGCATTCATCTAAACTTGCTAAAACACAGTAGTTGTACTAACATTAGTATGATATGTATTTTGTGATGGGGATAAATTTTTCTTTAAATTCACCTTGTGAGCACTAGCTGTCACGTGATACATATATGATTGTCATGGGAACATGGCAAGAAGGCTAGAAATTCACCGCGGGCTCAATTTCAGGCTCGATGCGCATRCTCAGGTGTGCAATGAAGCGTTTTTGCCGCCTCTGATCGGTCTAGTGTGGACGCGAAACATTTTATCCGTTTTCATGTGTGGACAGAAAACTTTTTTTCGGTTTCGGTGTAAAAGTTGCGGATTCAAATTTGTCCGGCATAGTGTGGACGGGGCCTAAGTTAAAACCAAGACAATGCTTGAATAATATTCCCACCCTCCATCCTCTGGGTTGTTTGTCAAAAGATGATGGAATGGTTCACAGAAAAGAAGGATTTTGTTTAACTTGTCTAAGACGATCTTCTCCCTTAAAGTGTTTTCTAAACAATATTAAAATATTTGCAGGTTCTGCCCTTTTGTAGGCCACAAAATAAACAGTTTTGCGTTAT